TGCTATACAAGTTGGATTAGTACAGAAGCTGTAGTATATTATAATAGGTAAAGTTACACAGTATTTTATTTAATTTAGGGTATATTTATTCAGTAGGCAAAATTCGATAGTTTAAATCTTTTTTTAATTCAGTCATTTCTGGTTGTCATATGTCAAGTTATGTTTGCCAATTGTCAATTAAAGGCTTTTACTTATACTTGTTAATAGTATAAATATATGCTGTGTTGTTGGGCTTAGGATTCTTCTACAGTAGGTGTCTCTGACTTGTTGATGATAAATTCAACGATAAATGAACAGCATGCACTCCTTGTTTTTAAATAATATATATATATTCAGAATAAGTTAAACATATGTATAACAAATTCTTTAGACTATAGATATCATAGGTATATCATAAACTCTTTCTATAGTTCTTTTCTTCTTATCAAAAGTCCATTTAGGCCTATTCAATTACTTTAAAATTTCAGTTGACAAGCTGAACTACTGCTGATTCAATTACTTTAGAACTATGCTTTGACAGAATAAATTATTTTTCTTATTTCCTTTTCTACTGTTAGTCTTACTCTGACATATTAAACATTAGGTCTATGTTAATCATTAGACCTGCCACTTCTATGACAGTTAACTGCATGCCAAACTTTTTCTTGGTCATGGCTTTACTCTCTTCTGCTATCGTCTATCTGCTGTTTCCACTCATCTCACAGTATTTGTCTTTATTACTTAATCATGTGCCCGCTTTCTAGAAATCTGTATATTCTTGATGTCAGTGTATTGCATGTGACATTCAATAGTCTCAACATCAATGAATTATAAACAACGTCCAACAATTGTCTGCTTTTAACTCTCTTATTATAAAAAAAATTTAAAAAAATGACAAAACATTCATAAAATATTAACTCACAAAATAAATAAATTAATAATATCAACACTAAACAGTCTTTTATATCATGACACTGGTCACACTTTTATGAAAAATGGGGGTCATTAAGTGGCATTTTTATATTCAGTATAAATGAACAGCATGCACTCCACTTATTTTTAAAATAATATATATTCAGAATAAGTTATATTCTATATAA